CAAAAAAAAAAACCAAAAAAAAAAAAACAAAGAACTTTGAAAACATCAAACATAAGGATCTATCTTACCCACAGAAAAATTAAAATCACTCCCAAAATATCAAGTTAGGAATGGTAATACACTTATATGAAACAGAAATGATACTTCTATGAAAAATTATCACAACTTCCATAAAATTTCTAAAATCTAGAAAGGTTTTAACCTCCTTTTTAGGAGACAATGTCACAGAATATTTACAGCTGTTATGCCACAGTTTGTGCATTACAGCAATGTGAAATTCTGCTCTGGCCCAGATCCTCAGCTCTGCTATTTATCTGCAAAGAAAATATTTTACTAGAAAGGGGTACAGTGCATTCAGCATACAAACCTAGAAAAAGGACATTGAATTGAATTTATAGTCTTTATGAAAAGCAGAACAATAATATAAACCCTGCTACTTACTTTAAAAAGGCCTCGTTCACAGACTCTAGAAACTCTGAACTGAGAATTTCTTTTGATGACCCTCCATGGTAAAGAAGGAGAGTTTCCAGCAATGGAGCTAGATCAGGCAAAGTAATGAGAGGCACACAGAAAATGGAAACAGCATTCACACGACTGGCTGAAATGCTGAGGGAAAAAATAAACACAGTTTGTATTTCAGAAAAGTCATAATTTCTAAACTGTTAGGCAAAAAAAAAAGGGCATTAATTAATTACAGAATATTAAATGCAAGACATGCATGCCTAGTTGCTGAAAAATTATTTACTAGAATGACTGTTGACATATCATTCCTTATTGTGTGCAGAATGTTAAGAAGTCAGATAAAACTTTGATATTTAAGTGCTCAAAGCAAACCATGTGAGGGATATCAACACAATTCTGAATTAAACCCAGTTGTGTTGGCTCCATCAACACATCCTTCCTAATAGACACTTCTCTGTCTTTCCCAGGGTCAGTGAAGGAAGACCAGAAATTCACAGCTCCCAGGCAAGTTTCCTGGAGCCCCAGAAGAGACAACCTAGCTCCTTCTCAGGCCTCCTTTTGCTTTTTTAATCTCTCTTTCCTCTTAATAGAAGCAAATTGTGAATCTTGCTGTCTTCAAGTGCTCAGCTGGAAAATTTTTGTCTTACAGATCTATAGCTCATGAAATGTGTAGCCCCTTTGGATCTCAATGCACAAACCACTTGCTGGATCTTCTCACTAAAACTACATGTTTGGAAACAGTTAAAGACATTCCAAGAATCTGGAACATAAAGAAAATTACAGAGTAGATACAGAAACTTTGGAATTTAAAGAAAATTAAAATGGCAGAGACTAGACTGCAAAAAGAAATAAAAACTTTCCCAGAGAATATATATTGTTTCTAGCACATGAAACTGTAGCATTGACAGGAAGACATTATAAAGACAAAAAACTATGAAACACTGAATTCTATCAAAGTAAAATATTGTCCTATATTGTTTGTAAAAGACTTCCCTGAGTTCTTGCAAATTTCTCCTGATTCACTAAAAGAAGTGCATTCTCTGAAAGAATTTAAAAAAATATTTTCTTTGAGAAGTCACCAATACTACCCCTGAATACCTGAGATACGAATTAAGAAGGCTGCTCAGCAGTATGGACATGAGGTACTAACCATCACCATTTAAACAGAGAGAGAAATAAAACATGACACATTTTCAAAAATGCACATTTCTGTGTAACTACCCAATTAAATATTTGTTTAAGCTTTCTTATACTGAAATACTTCAAAATGCATTTTTGTTACAAGTGTTTTTGTAAGAATGGTGATTCTTGGGACGATCTTATCATGCAGCAGTATTTTTCAGGATACACAGACCTGAAACTCTAAACCTGCTCCCTTTACAAAATTATGTTTCTAGTTCCTTACCCAGGATTAGCAAAATTTAGCAGATGAATTTACTATTACTTAACTTCAGAAGAAAAACTCTGTAAAGGTATTTTTTTTCTACACAATCTTCAAAATATGTTCTTGGAAAATAGTGCACAATCTACTCCATTGTGTACAATTAATTTGCAACAATATTATCATCTGAATTTTTAAAATATCTCTAAGTGGAGAAAGGAGAAAATGTACACCTCCAAACGCAAATTACTTTGGTCAAGACAAAAGTAATTTTGTCTCTGGAATTTGAATAAACACCCATATAATAATGCCCACCCTAAAAAATCAACTTAAGTTCAAAGTTTTAAACAAATTTAGCTCACTTAATCTTCCTTATCAAATATGTAGGTGCAAAGAGGAAGGGGAGGATAATATCCAAGTGAAGCCAAGAAAGGCACAAATCAGACAGTAACAGGATTATGTGACAAAGAGTGACAACAGCACCACCAGGCAAATGATCTTTGAAGGTTCCCTTCCAACCACTCTACTACTCCAAGGTTAAGTACAAACTCTTATGTGAAGCCAAACTTACCAAGCTTGTCCACACCTTAAATATCTAACACCAAATGTATCCAAAACTTTTCAACAGAAGCCTAAGTTGCCCATGACTGTAAAATGATCCTCACTGAACTGTAATGACCCAAACCAAAACATATCAAACTTATGTTTAGATAACACCTACCTCTCCTGAATGTTAAGCCCATTGAACTGGTTTTCTCTGAGTTCTCGTACTAATGAAACAACCATCTGTTAAATAAAATAGAGGTAAATAAAATACATTACATTTACTGACAATAAGCAGACATTAGTTGCATGGTTATCTTTGTGACTGTAAAGGATGTACTGTAAAGGTTAATAACTTCCTCTGTTCATCTATTTTGATTTTTTAGCTATTGATGTCAAATTACAGCTCTCCAAATCACTAAACAAACTGTACTGCAAAATATGATTTTACAAATTATATACTTTATACATTTTAAAACGAAGGAGATATTCATCTTAGCTCTCCTTCCCCAAGAGTTAAGGCATAACTTTAAGAAAAGAATTACTAATAATTTTACATGCTTTGTCTAATTCAAATCAATATATAACGAAATATTATTCATACTATTTTTATATAACTTAAATATTAAAGTGACTTTAGCTAACATTTATGGCTCAACTCCCATTTTAAACGCAGCAAATACAGTAAAAAAACATTCAGAAGTTATAATACATAAAATAATAAATAGAATTTTAACTTAATGGGGAAAAATAATGATAGAATAGGGTTTTTCTTTTGTTTTAGCACAACAGGAATGGGAATTTTTTTTTATGAATATCTGTTACAATGTAATCTAATAAAAAATTCTCATTTGTCCAGAGATCTCCCACTTCATTTTTTCCCTTAAAAGGTTGTAAAAGCAACTGAGGTAAGAAAAGATAAACAAAGTTCAGTTCATGTTCCTTATCACAATGACAGCTCCATGTATGTGCTTATAAACTGGTGATTTATTATTGTCAAAATCTCAGTTACACAAAATACTTACATTTTTAACCAAGTGACAATAATAATCTGCTGACGTGTAGCCCAGAGCTGATATGAATGCACTGGTTTCTGCTTCATTACTTTCCCACTTAGAAGAAGAAAGGAGATGGCACAGCAAACTCTGAAAAATCAACAGAATGGCACTAAAGTTCCAGGCTAACACAAGCTGTTACACAAGGGATAGGACAGCTATTGAACTCTCTAGGATAAGGCCTTTGGATCAGCTGTGGGCATTTTACACCATTGATACAGAACAGCAGACAACCCCCACCGACCATAAGGAAAATGCTGCAGCTGCTGCAATCAAACGTGGATTCACACACACCACAGGATTTCAGCAGCTGTCCAACTGCAGTGGAGACCACTCACAGACCTTAGCTAGGTTTCAGTTCTCTGAGAGCCATTTCAATCAGCTCTAGTCTTGATCAGTACCATGATCAAGAAGAGAAAATGTGAAACTAACATCTACTTTTCCATACCGTTTTTTCAAGATGCTCTGGGATTCAGGGTCTGGTCTCATATTGTAATTTGCTTAATTTCCTCATTATTTTGATAAGATAATGATAAAAATCTTATCTTGATATTTACTTCTCTATTAATTTCACTACAAAATGCTTTACATTTCACTAAAGCCTTTTGAATACATCATATAATAATCTAAGCAATCCTTTGATTATAGATTCTAAATCAGATTAACAGATTTGGTATACTGGTTCTGCAGGCCTGCACAGGGGACTCTGAGCACAGTACTCATGTTATCCTAGCTCTTCAGCACTATACTACAGCTCTGCTGCCATTTGGACAGATCCTACACCCCAGCACCTTTCCTATCAAACTCATTATGAAAACCAAAAGTGCAAAATCTTGAGCAAGTTTTTGTATCCAGTTGTCACAACTGAGCTGAGATCGTTCTATGTTGATCATTCAACTATCTGCTCTGCATTTTTTACAGCTTTCATTTCTTCCTGCTCTTGACTGCTACATGCTGACATAACAACAGTTACATTCCCATTCCAGGATTCATTTCAGAGCTTTATGTATCACTGACACCTAAAGTATAAACTTTATATGGCACTAAGTATATAAAATTCTTTGTAATGGAGGGTCAGGATTAGTATACACTTTAAAAGGCCTTCATTTAAAAAATGTATGATTAAAGGAAAGTTCAGATGAAACCTCTGTGACTCCATGGCTTTAAGCTGCTTCATTCCGTGCATTCTTATTAATAAAAAAACTGATGAAAGATTTTTGAGACAAAAAAAAAACATTTAAATCTCATTAACTTATTTTCTCCTTTCAGAAAGTCAAGTATTTATACATGCTTTTGTTGAACATCCCTAAGCAATTGCTTCAGAAGTCCTGGAATTAGACATGTTCAATCCATGTATTCCATGTTTGATTAATGTGAGAGAGAAGAATCAGCAGAAGAACACGAGAGGTCTAAGAAAATTCACTGTTATCAAAATAAGTAACAAGAATTTGGAATACCTTATTTATTGTACTTCAGGATTCTTTTACTACCTTGAAGAGTTATGTTAAATGCCTAAATATCCTTTTCCTTCATTGTACAACCCTTTTCCTAGATAGCCTTCAACTGGAGCAACTGCTGTTCTACTGCCATCCAGAGAATTCTCACAAACCAAAGACAAGGAAAACTGTTGTGGCAAAAGAGTTTCTAAGTAGTAACTTACATTTAGTGTTTGCATTCTTAAGAAAAAGGCAGAAAAGAGCAGATTTTTTAAATGTACAAGCCTCTAAATGTGTCAAAAACAAAAGCTAAAATCTATTAAACTGTACAATCTCCCAACAGGCCTTAACCAATTTAATACTAAAAAATAATAAACTTTTTTTTTTTTTGCAACTATTAATAGTTAAATTTTCTTTTCAGAACACTATCAAGGGTATCCATAAAACAGGATAGTTTGCCAAGTAGAATATGATATGGGTCTAAAATGCAAGTCAAAAACAAAATAAAGGAGGCGTTACAACAGCAAACCTGGGCCACTTTTGCTATAGGTAAGGAAGCAGCTTGAAAAGTACAAAGGCTGTTGGACTGATTAATGAAAGACTTACAAAAAGCTTGACCATAACGTAACAATAAACATAAAAATGTCTGAAAAGGATTTGACAGGCTAATGTGGTAGCAAATGACAGCTAAATGAGGGAGTGGCTAAAAACCCCACATATTCACCTGTAACACTACAAAATTTATTATCTAGTGACCCTTTCTGTAACCAGAATTTTCCTAAGGGTAAAATAAATTGAACACTCTCTTTCTGAACAGTACTTTTGAAATTACTTTGCCCCCTACCCTTATGTAACAGACAGTGTTAACCAAGCAGCAGAAGAAAAGAGAAGGCAAAATGACTATACATCATCAGAGTCTGCATATGTCTTGCAGCACTTCCCTGCATTGGTTTTCAGTTTGGTATTGCTTTAGGGTTTTTCTTCCTTATTTACTTACTTGGGGTCTTTTGTTGTTTCGTTTTCAATTTACTAGATCTGTGCAAGGAATTTGCATTTTTTTTTTTTCTTGAAATGTACAAAATTTCTGAACAGCCAGAAGGGGGCAAGGGAAACACAGGCACTGTACTCAAGATGAAAGGAGCTATTAAGTTAGTTTATTATATAAGACAAATAGGTATTAAAGATGGAAAACATTTACAATTCAGCTCTATGTCTTATGTATTTCATTTTACTGACATAGTTGCATTGGAAATCCTGAGACATCCCCACGTACAACAAAAGTATTAGTTAACAGTAAATTAAAGCATTTGTCTTTTTTATTTTAAAAGCTTTCTTACTCTTCTAGAACACATAAAGTTCTCCTTGTCTCTAGAAAAAGTAGCTTATTTATTTCTTATATAATTATGGTTGAAAGTGATAATTCTTTTACTCATAATTTATATATATATATTTTTATATATATATATCATTTTACTTTTTAATTTCTATATTAACAGAGAGCTGTTGGGAAGAAAAATTAATACTGATACTTCACTCATACTTGACAAATGAGTTGTTAGGATAAGGAGTATTTAACGTCTTCATCAATGGGATGGGATTGAGTGGGACAGGTAGGATCAAGTGCACCCCCAGCAAGCACTTGACAGCACTAGCAAATGACACCAAGTGTGCAGATGACGCCAAGGCATGTGGTGCAGTTGATTCCCTGTGGGAAGGGCTGCCACCCAGAGGAAGGACAGGAGCGCCAGTGTGAACTTCATGAAGTTCACAGACTTCATGAAGGCCAAGTGAAAAGTCCAGCACCTTGACCGGGGCAATCTCCAATATCGATTATCAAAGATTGAGATCAACCCTGCACAGAAGGGCTTGGGAATATTTGAAATTAACTCTTTCAGAAAATACTATATAGGAATAGAAGAGATTTCAGATTTTCTCACATATATAGGAAGCAACACAAATACTCAAACCTTGTAACCGGTTCCAGTATTACATTATGATTTCCCCAGGCATTTTGGAAAATGAAAAAACATGACATGTTACAGAGCCAGAGTATCGAACAGTTATTTGATACTGATGACTTTTAAAGAATCATTTCAAGATCAATACCTACTAGGTATTCAAGTACATGATGAGAAAATTGTCAGTACTAAATGCAGCTCTGTACTGATGGTATCAGCCATGGATCCTACACTACCCCAGCAAAATTAAGAAGTGGTGATCTGCATAATCATCAGTTATTCCTGGCAGTGAATCAACCACCATTCACTGTCTAATCCACTAATACACCATTCTACAAGCCAGAAAAGTGAAAAAATAACAAGGTGTCTTTTATTTTTGCATTTCAAGAATAAAGATAATTGATTCTGGAAAATGAACAGCAGTCAGGCACACTGCAATATCCAAAGCAACTTTTTTCTTGACTTCTCTCACCACTAAGTAAGAAGGAAACCACCTTGGCTGTAATTGCAAGAGAAGAAATCCATCTCCCTGGTCTAGGATTAAAGGCATCCTATTCAAAATCCCATTCAACCTGAAACTGAATTTATGAATTTTTATACAGCCCTCGCAATGACTAACTTCTTTGAGCAACACTGCAAGTCTCTTTGTTGTACTGATGAAATTTATACTGAGTAATACTGCAGATAATTCAAAATCCACTGCTGCAGGGAGATTTCTAATACCTTTAACAGGCAGACTGTCCTATGAGCATTACCACAAAGACATAAACACCTAAACTTCCTTTATCAGTGTAAGCACACTGCTTCATATATACAAGATACTACAGCATACCTCCCCTATCTCCCCACTCCCACAACAAAATTCAGTATGGCATATGGGATAGGATATTTGCTGAGACAAAGCAAGGGAAGAAAACAAATCTACAGTTCTTACACCTCACAGTAGTCCTTGTACTGTGGATGGTCCAGAGCTGGGATATCAAGACAAAGAAAACAAAAGAAAAAGAGATTATAAAGATGGGCTGTTACAATCCTACATTTAAAGAAAAACCCTATTATGTAGTAGTTTTTGTATTTTTAAATTATGACTGGAAATCATATTGTCTGATTTATCTGTAATGTAATCGATTATATACTTTTGAATTACTTTTTAAGCCAGATTGGAAATAGAATTTGACTTCTTGTCTTTTAGACTTGTGTTAAAAGCCACGGACTATCTGGCTGTAGAGGAAATGCCTAAGAGCAACACTGATGTACAGACTCCTAAGACATTGACATACAACAAATTCTCATTCCAAAGTGTTATTACATGCAGATAAGAAATAGCACTTACATCTAAAGCTTCCTCTGAATAAGATGTGGTTTTTCATATTATACCTGCTTTCTTTTAGTAGAGCTGAGAAAATCTGGTTCCCATTGAAGCAGATAGAAAGATCAGCCTGGTACTTGACCAGATTTCAGAATTTCCACTTGGGTATCCATGCCTTACTTACTCCAACAGATTTACACAGACCATAATTTTCTGCAAAATGTCATTAATGTTTTTTTCTTTAAAAATAACTGCACTTGGTCTTTTCAAGCAGAATACACTTAAAAGAAGTATTTATTTAGAATACATTATAGATTATTCCGTTTCATCCTACTCTTCTGTTGCTTTGATAGACTCATCCAAGATGGCAAAAAAGAGCTCAGTATC